GAGCCAGATAATTTAAACTATACGCTAGCTCTGGCGCAACCACATGAAATCTGATAATGGAACTTATTCACCTTGTATTGTCCATCGTATCTCAACGAATCCGTCTCACACCATGCGTTCACTCACTTTGACGTTCTAAACCAACTCGGTAGCGTTGTTAGCGCCTTTCGCGTGCGGAACAATCGCTGCGACTAGGAACATCCTGAACTTGAGCACGAAGCACCTCCTTTGCTGGATCGCGATCAACACGCACCGCCAACTCGCTTATTTTTCATTTTCTCGCATCGCGACACCCAACATGATGCACACAAAGCTCACGGTTGCTGCCTTGGCCATGGCGTCGGTCGCGGCCACCGACATCTTTTCGGACGCGACTCTTGACGCGATCAAGGAACTGCAGCAGTGGAAGTCGAGTGCGGCGGGCCAAAAGGCCATCGAAGCCGGCTTTGTACCGACCGTCGAGTCCAACGGCCGCCAAGAGGCCGGCACGACGCTCGAGGCCATCGAGCTCGAGCGCTTCCAGGAGACCAAGAAGATTGTCGAGCAACTCAACAAGGACTACCCGGACGCCGAGTTCTCGGTCGACAACCCGTTCGCGCTCCTCACCGAAGACGAGTTTGCACAGTACGTCATGGAGTCGTTTGGGCCGCCGACGCGCAAGTTGCGGTCGACGAACCCGGTCGGCCGCGCCCTCTCGGTCGCCCAGCGCCAAGACGAAGCGGAGAAGGACTGGTCGAGCCACAAGTGCAACGGGCCGGTCAAGCACCAAGGCGGCTGCGGTTCGTGCTGGACGTTCGCGGCGACGGGCCAAGCCGCGTTCTCGCACTGCCTTGCGACCGGCGAGCTTCTCGACCTCTCGCAGCAGCAGCTCGTGAGCTGTGCGCGCGACGCGGGTCAGGGCTGCAAGGGCGGCTGGCCCCCGAACGCGCTCGAGTACATTCGCAAGACCGGTGTCTGCATGGACGCCGACTACCCGTATGTCTCGGGCAACACCAAGCAGGACGGCACGTGCCAAGAGTCGTGCAAGAAGACCAAGCTCCAGATCGGCGACACTGTCGAGATCCAAGGCGAAGGTGCGCTCCAGGAGGCGCTCAATGACCAGGTCGTCGAGGTCGCTGTCGAGGCCGGCAACAACGTCTGGAAGAACTACAAGAAAGGTGTCATTCGCCAGTGCCCCGGGGCGCGCGTCGACCACGCCGTCATTGCTGTCGGGTACGGCACCAAAGACGGTGTCAACCACTTCAAGATCAAGAACTCGTGGGGCACGACGTGGGGCGAGAGCGGCTACATGTATCTCGAGCGCGGTGTCGGCGGCAAGGGCATGTGCAACGTCGCCGAGTACCCGTCGTACCCCAAGCTCGCATCGTCGCCCAAGCCGACGTCTGACAAGCCGACGCCTGCGCCAACGTCGGACGAACCCTCGGACGAGCCCACAGACGAACCCACGACCAAGCCCACGACCAAGCCCACGACCAAACCTACCGGCAAGCCCACAACCAAGCCTACCGGCAAGCCCACGACCTCGCCCACGACGCACAAGCCCAAGCCGACGCATCAGCCCAAGCCGACGTCCGGCGAGCCCACGACTAAGCCGACCCCAACATCCAAGGCGCCGTCCAACAACTGCGGCGGTTGCACGGGCTGCTACTACCCCAACCAGCGCGCGTGCCAGCCGGCCTTTGATAAGGCCACGTGCGACGTCATGACGCCGTACTATGGTACTATCTGGTGTGGCAACTAAGCCGGCGTAGTAGTGTACATTGTGTGTTGTATCATGAAAAACCGCTTCAAGTGTTGGATCGTTTGACGCAGATCATGGATGTGGCAGTAGCAAATCATGGATGTGGCCAATCAGCAGTTGGCATGCATTCCGTTTTGGCTAATGAGAGAGATCAAAGCTGCGACCAAATCCGCAGGCTTCATTTCTATTGATTTCCGCCAATCCGTGCGAAGAAGGCAGCGACCACGACAACGGCGCGATCGCCGCCCCTTTGCCAACGACGACAAGTGAGACCGCCGTGCCCACAAGCAGCCGTGCATTGGTTTGTACCATGTCGAGAAGGCGGCGGCGCCATTCCTGCCATCCTGGCTGCGTCGACGGCAACGGGTCGCAACCGGTTGGCCCACTGGAACCACGACCGGGTCGGTTCCTGCACCCGTGTCGACCATTACCTCGACGACGGCGACCGCCTTGCGCGGATTCTACAGCTACCCAACTATCGTCTCCGTGCCATGGACTTGGATTCGACGGCGGTGTGGCCTGTGCGATGGCTGACGCCGTCACGAGCGAGCCTGCGCCAAACGATTGAGGGCGAGACTTTGCTGCCACGGACGCTATATAGTGCAAGCATCGGTAGGACCGCGCATCTTGGATACGGTATCAATTCTCGCGTATTTTTACGTTTAGAAATGCGTGTTTGACGATAGTGTTGGAGTTGATGGAAATACTACAACATAATTCCTTTGATGCCTTCCATGGGGCACATTTCGAATACACTATCGGCGGATGCATGCGACGGGAATTCGTTCGACTGATTTATCAGACGTCTACCGACGCGTGGCTAGAATCGCTGCCTTGCGGACGCCCGACTGATACCCCTACACCTACCCCTACCTCCGGAGCGCGCCGTCGCAGATGAACCCATGTTCGATGCAGGAGATCCGAGTTCTCGCTGCCTCTCCGGCTTGGTCTTTGGTCAGTATAGTGTCGATACTGTACCTGTACCGAATCGAGTACTATGCACGTCTGCTAGCTAATGAGGGCACGGGACGCCAGCACCTGGGTGCTACGTCAGAGAACGAGCCAGCTCTCCGAGCCCGCGCTGCTGTGGACCTGCTCACGGGCTTGCAACGTTATGACAATAGTGGAGCGCAAGGAACAGTCGAAGCCAACGTCTGGATCCGACCACGTAGCTCGTGCATAGCCTTTTGCTTGCTGAATCGCTCATCTCCGATACATGTGGTTTCACGCCTCGGACCCGCAACAGCTGTGTCAGTGCGTCTCTGTGGTAATGTATGTCGTCCCTTTCTCAACTTCAGAATTGATCCCGGCATCTCCACTACATGCAGTACGATGCACCACGCGTTGTATCATAGATCAAGCTCCGCGTCGCACGCTTCTTGGAAAGCAGACTTCTTGAAAAGCAGACTTGCGCTGCGTATGATTCCGCGTCCCTTCTACACGCCGGCGTGCACCACATCCCGAGAGCTCATTCCACAACTTTCCATTTCCCACACATCATCATGATCCACGCAGCCACGATCCTTGTCGCCGCCCTCGCGACGACCGCCGCCGCCGCCGACGTCTTTGGCCAAGAAAGCCTCGACCTTGTCCGCGAGTTTGAAGAGTGGAAGGCCAGCGAGGTTGGTCAGCAGGCCATCGAGAGCGGCTTTGTGCCGACCGTCGAGTCGAACGGCCGCCAGGAAGGCGCCGAGTCGGAAGACGCGATCCAGCTCCAGCGCTTCCAGGAGACCAAGAAGATCGTCGACCAGCTCAACAAGGAGCACCCTGAAGCCGAGTTCTCCGTGCACAACCCGTTCGCGCTCCTGAACGAAACCGAGTTTGCGGCCTTTGTCATGAAGTCGTTTGGCAACGACGATCGCAAACTGCGCGCCGCCGACCACGTTGCCCGCGAGCTCACATCGGCGCAACGCGAAGCGAGCGACGTTGACTGGGCCACCCACCAGTGCAACGGTCCGGTCAAGCACCAAGGCGAGTGCGGGTCGTGCTGGACGTTCTCGTCGACGGGCCAGGCCGCGTTCTCGCACTGCCTCGTGACGGGCCAGCGTCTCGACCTCTCGCAGCAGCAGCTCGTGAGCTGCGCGCGCGGCGCCGGCAACGGCTGCCAGGGCGGCTGGCCTTGGAAGGCGCTCGACTACATTCGCGAGACCGGTGTCTGCATGGAGTCCGAGTACCCGTACCAGTCGGGCAACACCAAGCAGGACGGCCAATGCTACAGCTGCAACAAGCAAAAGCTACAGATCGGTCGCACGGTCGAGATCCAAGGCGAGAGCGCACTCCAGAACGCACTCTCGAGCCAGCCCGTCCAGGTCGTCGTCGAGGCCGGCAACAACGTCTGGAAGAACTACAAGCGCGGCGTGATCCGCCAGTGCCCCGGTGCACGCTCGGACCACGCCGTCTTGGCGGTCGGGTACGGCACGAAGGACGGCGTCCAGCACTTTAAGATCAAGAACTCGTGGGGCACTGGCTGGGGCGAGGGCGGCTACATGTACCTCCAGCGCGGCGTCGGTCGCCAGGGCATGTGCAACGTCGCCGAGCACCCGTCGTACCCCGAGATTGGCCGCCGCAACGACGACAACAACAACAACAATGACCACAACAACAACAATGACAACAACAACGACGACATGAACCCGACGGCGGCGCCCAACGACCAGTGCAACGGCTGCGACGGCTGCTACTATCCGTACCACGGCATTTGCCAGCAAGGCTACGACGCTGGCAACTGCCAAATGCTTGCGCCGTACTACGGCACGGTCTGGTGCGGCTACTAAGTCGTGGATCGGTCCCAGCGTCTTGACGAGGTTTGGTTTCACCTGGTTGTAACATCACTACGTAATGCAAATGCGTGTTTGTTTGTACAATGTACTCCCTTTTTTACTAAATGATTAGGCAGTGCTAGACTTGTGATGTTTTCAAGCATGCTATGATTCTGTAGAGCGAAAAGTGCTTGCATACTTCCGACCGGAATACTCGGTCCGTTATTGGTACCAAGGGTATACGGTACCTTGCTCGTATTAATGATCTCATTTCGACTAACGGAACGACTAAGGCTAGTCACACACAACATAGATGACGTGGCGGTCCACAATGCCGTCTTTCCTCTCGGCTACATCATAACATTGCCAACCATGACTACCGCGTTTCAGTTGCATTTGGAGTGTGCTGATGTCGCTTTGTGTTTTTTCGGGATCCTTGATTGCTTGGCGCCCAAGCCCTGAATCTGCAGGCGCTTCAATACGAGAGAAGGCGACGTCTGCTGCGCAAATGTCCATGGTCCGTCGCAGGTCGGACTCAAAGCGTGGTCTATCCCCTATGCATCTTGCAGAAAATCGATACTCATTGGCCATGTTTACGCGAAGCGTGGCCCAGTCCAACGGGGTTGGAAGCAACCGTCGATTACGTAACCCTCCAACGACACATCTCTCGAAGCGACCACGAAGCCGAGCACCCGGCACCGTGCCAACGACGCGCATAGATTTACTTGCAGCTTCGCTGGTCGTTGTCAGCATCATCCATCCAGCGGCGCCGCGCTCCCATGTCCACAGTTACCAAGGCCCATGACATCAATTCAAATTCATCCGCCAATCACGGCGCGCGGACCGCCAACATTCTCGTTTTCTTTAGCTTTTCAATCGGAAAATGACATATATTCTCCATCTGGACAGGCCAGTGCGACAGTCGCCGGCGCCCACTCAAGTACACTTAGTCTTTCATTCACCTTGCACGATGCAGACGACCGCCTACCTTTCGACGCACCAGCCGCAGTACCTCGTCGGGAACACGGCGCACCTCCAAGCCGAACGTGACGCCCACAAAATGGGCTACGGCGGCGGCACCCTCTTTATCAGCGCCGGGTCCTTCATCCACGCCGCCGGCCCCATCGTTGTGCCCAGACGCATCGTCATCACAGTCGTTCTCAAGGGCGCGACGGTCGATCTGACCCAGGCGACGTTCGTGCACCCGGTCACCGAAGTTCAGATCTGTGCCGTCCTTGGCGGGGTCAAGCTCATCCTTCCGCGCGGCGTCCGCTGCGAAACGTCGGGGCTCAGCATCTTTGGCTCCTTCAAGAATGCAAACAACCAGTCGGCGTCGCTTGGGGCGAATGCGCCCCTCGTACGCATCACAGGTCTCTCGGTTTTTGGTGGCGCCAAAGCCTCCGTGTGCATGGAGACTGCGCCACTCGTCGTGGTGCCGTCGTTGCCCGAGGTCACGATCGAGACAGCCGAGAGCCTGCCACTTGCGACCCCTGCTCCCGAGCCCTTGGCCAAGTAGTGTAGTTACTCGGGGTGTGGACGAAATGCGTCTTTATATAGCTTTATCTTTCGAATTAACACAAAACAAGTATGGTTGCATGCAACTATGACTACAATCTCCACACATCCAGTGTGTTCTAGCAAAAAACAGTTGTATTCTCTCCGAAACCATCTGTGCCGTACCACCAAGCTCCGAAGCGCGGCGTCTCTGAGGCTCTGTTGGCGAGTCCAATTCGCCCGTGCAGCGAAGACACACTGTGGCATTCTGGAGCTCGTCCGTTAACGTGCCGATGCTCGTGCTGGATGATTTTTTCTTATTTTACTGTATTTAATCCTATTTTCATTCTTTCTAGTCAATCTTGCTTCGGCGCCGCGCAGCACGATCGACAACAAGGCAGCTCGACGCATGCCGCTCAACCCAACATAAACGCGTCGACTTGTCCTCAACAACAACCATATATTACTCTACAAAACGTCCTAGACCATATCACCTACGTAACCGCCGACGGGGGGTGTGGCTTGCTGCTGGTACTTTTCGCCATCCACGCTGGTGTCGTCGTCGTCATGGTGGTTGGACAGAAACGCCTTGTAGCAGCCCGCACCCAAGGTCGCGCCGACCATTGGCGCCACCATCGGCACCCAAAAGTAGTGGTTCGCGCCCGTAAAGACCTCGGAGCCATACCCGACGAGGTACGTAAAGACGCGCGGCGCAAAGTCGCGGGCCGGGTTCAGCGCATACCCGGTCGGCATGCCAAAGCTCATGCCGATCGCGACGACGATCGCGCCGACCGTGAGCGGCTTCATGATGCCGTTGGTCGGCATGTTCTTGTTGTCGTCGACGCTCATGATGGTGAGGAGGAGCATGAATGTGCCGAGCATCTCGCACACGAACGCGCTGCCGTGGTTCTCGTACGACTGCGGGTACGTCGCAAAGATGCCGCCCGTCTTGTTCCAGACGCGGTCGCCGTCGTACACGTTGATGGCCGGGAGGTAGATGATAAAGACAAAGAGTGCGCCGAGGAACGCGCCAAGCATCTGCGACACCATGTAGAACGGCCACTTGCGCCACGGCATGATGCCATAGACGCAGAGCGCGAACGAGACGCTCGGGTTGAGGTGCGCGCCCGAGACGCCGCCGGCGGCGTGGATGCCAAAGGTGACGGCGAGGCCGCACCCGATCGAGATGTGCGTGTAGTCGCCGTTCTTGCCCTCGCCGAGGACGACCTGGGCGACGACGCCGTTGATAAAGGCCATCATGACAAATGTGCCGAGGACCTCGGCGATGCACTCGCGCAGCAGCGGGTCGCGGACGCGGTACCAAGGTCGAGGTTGCCGTTGCATGTTGCCTTTTGTCGAAATGGGTAAAAGTTAATGTGAGAAGCTCACTGCATCAATTGGACTCGACGCCTCTGAATTGATAATCTGCTGGCATCGAGAAAGGGTTTGCGGAACATGGGATTCGGTGCGGGTGCCGCGTGCAACACATGGTGGTCATAGGCGCCGGCGATGGGTGCTCGAGATGCAGGGTGACGGCGGCGGATCATCGCAGCGCGACCCACAACAAAGTACATATTTGGTTAATCCTGTTTTGACGTTATTCGAGGAAAGGACCAACGCGTCGGCAAAATGATGAGTCGTAGGGTTTGAGCCATTCAGACGCGGTTGAGAGAGCCGGGTGGTATAGTTCACTGTGAAGAATTGAGACGAGTGAAATGTATTCTGAACGCTTATTCTCGTGGTTTATTCGGATGCAAGGTATTATACAAGTGAGAAACAGTGCGATGCAGCTGCATGCGTTGACTTGTCGCTTTAGGAGACACCGTGCGAGACTGCTTGACCTCATTGCTCGCAACCTGCGGTTAAAATACTCTCCTCACAGCATCCTGTGCATGACACCCGAGGCGTCGAGACCAACTCGAGACCTAGTGTGTACTCGATTCCACACAGAATTCCAATTAAACATGATCTCCAGTCGAACCATGTAAAATCCAGCGTTTTGCGCGTCGAAACACTGTATTTTTCTTTTGATGATTCACTTTTGGGAGAAAGGCCGGGACGCTCTCAGTGCTGATTCTGGTAGGTACCAGATAGTGGTGGGAAGGAAGGAAGAGACGACGACGCACTGCTGCGACGCACGACACGCCTGTCGTCGTTGGACAGGACGAAGCTGCAACAGAAGTTCGTTGGGGACGCAACTGGCGTTGGAGCATTATCATTGATGTCTTCCCCGCGCCTTGCGAGGTGGTTCCAGTCCTGGCCTTCACACGCGCGCACCAGAAAACAAGATAAGAACTGACATTAGTGAATATTCCTGGAGGAGCCTACCCCAATGGTCGAAACTCCTGCTTAACGCTTGATATCGAGCTATCCACGCATCCTATCCAAGTCAATCTTCTGGCACCAGCGGATAACCTTTGTCGATCCGATCCGTGCACATCAGTCATCGGCCTCTACGATGGAGCAGTCGATGTCCTCTCTCGCTGCCTCGCACCGCAAGACGCCATCGTTTCGTACCTTATTGATCAGCTTATTGATTGCGTGGATCCGGTTCCATGTTGCAGCTCGCGAAGCCCTTGACAAAATGTTTCTTAACGGGCAGCTACTATCGCACGATTGCACGTCCGGCACTTAGCTCGTCTCGCGGTGGTGCCATCTCTCGACGCGTCGCTGGCTGCTCTCCGTGACGACCCTTGGTGTGCACGCTACCTGGTCCCTCGCACAATCTCGAATCACGACCACTAACGCTCCTCGCTGAAGTACCGTCCAAGCCTCACGAGCGCTTTAAGAAGTCCACCATATCTTTATAATTGCATGTAATATAACTCGGTTCAACAACAACAA